GCTTGATAAAGCCTCCTTTACAAGTGGAGAGGAGGTACTAAGGCCTCAGAAATTCCACCTCCAGTCCTTATCAAGGGTTGCAAGACATTGTGTTGCTCTCTTCTTTAATACCCTGGCTGTTGAACGTCCAAGTGGACAGGTCGGTCTGTGATTGGTTGTTCCTGTAACCTGACTAGCATTATCGGTTACAAATTTGCTACCATGGTATGGTAGGGAACTTTGCCGAGCATTTTCCAAAGTTGCTTCGATAGAAGAAGGGGAAACCTCTCTGGAAGCTTATAAGCTTTCTTCAAGCAGACCTCGAGGGAATTCAAGCCTGCTCGACTTATCTTGCTAGAAGCGGCAGTTCCACTCAATTACTCGCAACTTCACTTCAACGTCGACATTTAATTTCCACATGTTGGAATTAACGTATGTATACGTACAATGTACATATGCGTATTCTACGAGTATATATATTAGGCAGCAGCGGTGGCCGGAGTAGTAGACTCTTCGGTCTCCTGATCAGTCGTAATTCGCTGTGCGGGCTCGAATCCCGTCCCAAGAAAATTTTTTCTCTTGGTTATGGATGTTGAGATTGTCCGTAGGTGGTAGACGGTCTCTAACTGTCGAACGCAGCGGTACCACCCGGCGGATCTCGTAGGCGGAGCCAGAATGTGTGCATGTTGCATGCACACGTGTTCCCTCGCCAGAGGCCGTGTGGCGTCTGCCAAAGAGCCATCCATTTCGGCTGGTCGGAGTCCAGATCACCAATGGCTTGATCTGGCATGAAAACACCTCGTCAATCGCGGCAGCTTATTGAAATAAGCTAGGCTATCTGTTTAAGGCTAAGAAGTACTTTTCTCTACATAACCTCCTGGCTCTATACAAGGCACAGTTGGGACCTAGCCTCAAGTACCGCTCACATGTTTGAGATGTTGCAACTTCCACTACATACTTTATTCTATTTAGAGCAAGGCTGTTTGACTGATCGACGACTCTTTTCTAACGGACAGTCTCGGCACTCTTTTGCACCGACGGGCCTTCGGCGATATAGCTCCCTCTACCGCTATGCCAATGGGCTTCGCTTTTCAGATTTCTCCGCCATGATGCCGCCGGTGTGCTTGCCAGACAGACCCTCCTGACTTCGGCCTCACATCCTAAACGTGTCTGATTTCGTACATCTAGAACTGACACTTACGACCGTACCTTTGCCCCTAAAGCCATGTACAGATATGTAACAACACCGCGAACCGAACCACGCGACGAACCGCAGCGCGCGCATTTTGACGAACAACATTGCAACGAACATCACCACAAACCTAACGAAGTCGTGCAACCACATCCCGCAACAAAATGACGATCCAATGTTGTTGTTTGTCGTTCAGTGAAAGACAAATACTAACTGGAAATGGATATAGCAGTAGCAGCAGCTGTTTATATTTATATTCACTACTAATTATCCAAAAACAAGCGACGACGACGTCCGAGACGATAGTAACAAACGCAGTTATATACGATTGGATCAGCACACGGTTGCAACAATTTGATAGCGGAATTGAAATTTCAACAAGTAAGTGGACAGTGCAAAAGTTTTACGAGGATGTCTCCAATGGATTTTGAATATCTTCTCAAGTTGATTGGATAAAAATACAAAAACAAGATACAAAATGGAGACCTACCATCACACTGCAAGAAAGACTCGCAGTCATGGTGCGATTTTTAGCGACCAGTGATTCAGGTAGTAGTTTGCAATACATGTTTCGAATTTCAAAGCAATCGATCAGCTACATCATTCCAGAAGTTTGTCAGACATTGATCGAAGTTTTAAAGGAAAATATACAAGTAAGAAAAATAATTATTTTACTTCTAAGCACTTGTGCATTACAAAATAACACATTGGTGCTCGCCGCCCCGTTATGCCTGTCCAAATATGAGCAACTTCGTCGCGAGCCATTCCTTTGAAAAACCGACAAAGCCTGCATCGGGCCGAACGGCGAGCTGTAATGCTGATCAGGTTCGCGACGGCGTTGTTTTCACCGTCTACACTAGCGCGGCGCGGTTCGTCGCGTGGTTTGGTTCGCGATGCTGTTACATATCTGTACTTATCTGTACTTGGCTTAAGACATACAATCTGCCTGGGGAGGGTTTTCTCAGTTCTACTACCCTTGGACAATTAAAGAATCTTACAAGGTTTCTTTGAGCTCCTCATATCAGCCGCGTTGCCCTCGCTTTTAGGCTTCTGCCGACGCAGCTGTTCCGGTATAAGAAAAGAGTCACTGTAAAGCTTGCCAGCCATCCCCAGCTAGCCAAGGATTATCGTCATGTATTATCCACTGTCTAGTTTTGATATTATCTTTTTTTTATACGAATCTAAATAGCTTTATTTAGCATGCATGAGCTTTAGATATAAGTGATCTTCATTTTCTAGTGATCAAAATCATGAAACTTAAAGAAAAAGGGCATGGAGCTAGCCTTTCTTTGAGTTGCGTTTTCATTGTTTTATATACAAACGCACACGCACGTATCGCCTTCTTTGGATTTAAGACCACGCAATGGTTTTGATTTTCTACTGTATCTGCATATATATGTATATATATATATATATATGCATCATTTCAATCAAAACATACATTTATACATATCAAAGTCGGATGAAGCTTTTCTTTACTCTTACATTGGAAGTACAAACTATATCATCTATGTGATACTTATGGTAAAACTAATTTGATTGAAAGAAATATCAGTTTTGAGCATGAGTGAGATTATGTAAATTTTATCGCTCGAGAAGCTAGAGATCGGTCTCACATTTTTAGCTGTGGCAGGGGATGATCACACAGTAATTTGTAACAGATACAGTATTGAAGCGAAAACAGATCATTGGGGAACATCAGTGTAGACTTTGTGGGATAATGAGAAGCCATAAAAAAGAAAGAGATATCACGGTAACACTTTAGTAGCTGGTTGCTGATGCACCTCTCCATCATCTTGCTGGTAGCAGACCTATAGAGCGATCTCGTCTTTCGGAAGCGCTATCATAACAGAGAGGGTGTGTTTTCTTCACTCCATTTAGCTTCATACTGTCATTCGATATTTCAGTCTGTTTGAGCTTTCTGCGTTTTTAAATCCTGATTCAGTATTTTATAATTGCGAGTCTGATAGTACAAGGGTGGGTGCACAAACAACCTCCCCCTACCAGAATTATTTTTTGCAAGTATTGCTTGACGGGATGCGTATTACAGTAAGATCCCAGGGCGTTGTTAAAATCTTTTACAAATTGTAGATCGTCAATTTATATCAGCAATCTTAGTTGAAGTAATGTTATTATTTTTACTTAATTCTTCTCACCAGCGATTCGGCGCCCTAACCCACTTACGTATGCAGGCGTTTAAATTACGAGTATATGCAAGATTCATTTGTAAGTAAAAACCGTTTTGCAATGGCGGACAAACCAATACAACTACACAACCAACACCGACAGAGACATAGAACGTAGTGAGAGATTGGTCAAGACTGATAGGTTGAACTTAAGTCACGTATCAGGATGCGCAATAGTTTCTGACTTTAAAAATGGCACTCGTATAAATGCTGTTACAATTTCTTCCAGAAAATAAGAAACGAATCCAAATTCTTTTTATATAATTCAAAACTACTGCTCAGCAAATGAGTATGCTGAACATATAAAGCTGTTCACCAGGTCTCTCGGCCCGAAGTACGAGATTCATGGCTTCGTAATGTAACAACTCCTCTCCTGCTATGCGTAAGAGTTAAGTGTCAATACAGCTGCGGAATGGAACAACGCAATATTCCATTATACACTCACATGAAGGCGTGGGTAGCATTAAAAACGTATGGAGGTCCAAAAAGGCTCACATTATAAATCATACCAAACACATATGCATGACACCAGCGGGTGGCTGGAAATGAACAGCGACGGAAAAATTCCGCATGAATTTGACACATTGCAAAAAATCTATGATAGACCGTTTTCAGCCTCTATTGAACTGTAATTGTCCCAGATTGATGACGTCAGTAGACGCAGTATGTGTATTCACGACTATGTTCGATTTTAATGACCCAAGTTACGTACCTACACCAAGCTTTGATCGCTTTTAATCATCCATTACGGAAGTTGGTTTCTAGCACCTTAAGGTTGCATAGTTCATTATGCTTTCAGCATCTGGCAGTACTCATTGCAACTGCACTTTATGCATTTTATTATTAGTAAGCGTGTATAGGAGGATAAGATCACAAAATCACACCAAGCAATATGAGGTCGTGAGAATTTTATGCTTGCTGACAAAACCGTGTAATTTGTTAGGTACAATGGGACCTGGATAGTCGAGTGAGAAGGGCGTCGAGATACAAATCGGTTCCTCAGGCTCGCAGGTTCAAATCTCCGGCTCGGAACTTAACTACTAGCCATAGATGTTACGTTCTGTGTGCTGCCTATATCAGGCACCAGATCGGCCCAAGATCAGCCTAGGTAGATCGCATTGCTAGAGCTGATTGATTCAACAATCAGTTACCAGTAGCGAATAGCGTGTGTAGTGGTTCAGAAAAAAGGTTCAAAGTTATCCTAGTTAACAGGGTTTGCCTCCCAACTACTACTACTACTTGCTGGGTGAAAGAAGCAAGGGCATCGAAACTAATAACAAGACCCAGCTTTTACTGAGCTGAGAAATTAGCTGACAAGTATCTAACATCCAATTCAATTTCATTTCACGCTGCTGTCTCTTCCAGAATTTGTACAGCACTTCCTTTGTTTTTATGTTCTCCGAATGTGTACTGCTGTATCTTTTTTAATTACTGGTGAAGGCCAGAATAATTACGGAGTTTCGTCTCGCTGCCGAACATATCCCGTTTAAACGGCAATTTCACAGGATGAGCCCTCTACTGCCAGGGGCGTAGTGGAAAGGGCAAGAATCATCAGTGTATAGCTGTTTCGGCTTCTTGACAATCATCAGCGTAAGTAGGGCAATTTCCCGTTGGTATGGAGAATTCAAACGTGGATGGGTGAGTCTTACCGACGATCCCAGGGTGGGTGCGCCAGAAACGGCAGTCACCCAGGAAAACGTCGATGCTGTGCGCGAACTCATTATTGAAGATAGACATGTGACATATCGTGAGATTGAGGAATCCTTGAAGATCTCAAAGACCCCAATTCAAAAAATTTTACATGACGAATTAGGAGTAAGAAAATTAGTTTCTCGTTGACTGAAGAGCAGAAAGCAGCCAGGGTTAATTGGTGTTAAAAAACGCTAGACCGTTTCAATTCCGGAAACTCAAAAAATGTGCACAGCATTGTTAGTGGTGATGAATCGTAGATTTACTGTTGTGAACCAGAAAATAGATGACAGTCGGCTGTTTGGGTGTTCCAAGGTGAAGAAAAGCCAACAAATGTCATCCGTTCTCGAAGTGTTTCGAAAAAGATGGTCGCGACATTTGAGTCAAAAGCGGGTCATATTGCAAACATTCCTCGCAATGAGCAAAGAACTGTTACTGCGGATTGGTATACCATCATTTTTTTGCCAAAAGTCATCACCGAGCTTCGAAAAATCAACCCCGAAAGAAGAACCATCCTCCACCAAGACAATGAAAGCTCGCACACAGCCCAAAAAACAAGGAAGTATTTAACGGAAGAAAACGTAGAATTATTGGACCATCCACCATATAGTCCCGATCTAAGTCCTAACGATTTCTTTACTTTCCCGAAAATTAAAAACAGACTGCGTGATCAAAGGTTCCAGTCACCAGAAGAAGCAGTTGACGCATTTAAAAATGTCGTTTTGGATCTGCCAGCAAACTAGTGGAATAAGTGCTTCGAAAATTGGTTCGAGCACATGCAGATGTATATTAATCTTCGTGGAGAATACTTAGAAAAATAATAAAGTAATTTAAAACTACCTACCGTGTTGTTTTATTTCCATATGCAAAACTTAAAAGACATCCCTCGTGACACGCTTATTACTCTGCTTTCTCGCACCGGTAGGCCGTCGGCGATCTGATTTCTTTCTACCGCTATGTCAACGGGCTTTGCTCCGTTGAGCTTCGCGCCATGACGCCACCGGCGCTGAACCTGATAGGCTGACCCGCCAGGCTATTGCCTCCGATTTCAGCTCTGCTGAACATTGCACATTGAGAAGCGGCCGATATAACCGCTGATTTGTCCCTAGAGGTTCGAGATTTTCAAACAATCTGCCAGAGATGGTTTTTCCCAGCTCTACAAGTATTACCCTCGGGCGATCCAAAAATCGAACTGACAAGCTGACTTTGAGCTCATAGCAGTCACGATACCTCGCTATTTCTCCCTACCCAGCTACATCAGTATGGAAGAATTGTGTGTTGGAACAGTAAACATATTTTAGCTCGTTTTTAAAACCGTCCAACTTCCTCCAACTTACTGACCTTTTTGGGACCCTCTCGCACTCGCACACCTGATAAATATTTTGAGAACGACACCTATGAATTGAACTATTTAATTTCCATTAAGTTTATTTTCTAAAATGCGACTACGCCGAACCATTTAAATAAATCGTTGGGTTAATTTGATTTCCTTCTTTTTATTGGCATCTGCTGTTGGGTTCCCTGGTTGGTCCCTGGGCGACGTTGTTATCTAGATGTCAATTAAGTAAATTTTCCTTTTTCAAGCCAAATGTGGAGGATAACAGAAAATAAGGGAATTCTCTGGATTCGCAATGCCTCCGAGATAATTGAAACTGCAAATGGATTGAACAAGGCGAGATTAACGAAAAGGACGGTTGAGATGGAAAAAATTATCGTGGCTCAAGGTTCAGTTGGTTAATGACTTTTGAGCAAGTAATAAAACAAAATGTTTGTCTGGCTGAATCAAACCACATTTATGTTTAATCTCTTTACTTGTACGACGTTCCGCTACCAACGGTGATCTTCTTCCAGTGCAACTGACACCTTTTTGACAACATATTTTATTTATCTGTCTTCCAGGTGACACTTTGCTTGTTTTTTTTTCTATGATTTACACATTCCTTCACAATGTCTTACTACAATAATTTAAAAGGTCCTGAAACATGCTGAGATGGCGCGAAGCCATCATTCCAATCCTAAGATGGTACTTCACAAAAAAGCGCAGGATTGCCTGAAGCCGGTATTTCCTTTCCAGTAGGACGCCCGGCTCTCCAAAGAGCCAAGAGAGCATGAGATTATTGGTCAATATACCATCATCCATCGTTCCGAGAACACCAAAACTTCTCCGAAATCGCGAAAACCCACCCTCCTCGTAGATTAAAAATGACAGATATCATGATTGATATTCTGCTTGAAGACCTGGACGAACAAGGATGCCTACACCAGGTGGCACTGAAGTCTTCTGGTCTTGCGCAGTACAGTCTTGAGATTTGTGTTAGTGTAGTAACACACAAACATATGTGGTTTGATTAGGCCAGACCAATATGAGGGATTATCAAAATGAAAATCACAGGATAAGTTTCAGATGTTAAATTAATATAACACATAATTCAGCTCACCCTATCTGGCCTACGAGACCCATTTTAGGAAAAATTTGCATTGAAAGCAACTGACGACCGCAACCCTAAAGCAACTCAACCCGGCACATGTATTCAAGTACAAGCATTCTTATCAAAGCGATGGTAACCTGACTAGTTGCACAACGACTACTGGCACTGACGTCGTTAGTCGATTTGGAGTTGCACCATGACTGTATTTTTTCCAAGCCAACCAGACAATCCGTAATTTGAATTTGTTTACTGCCTTTAACAAGTGAAGATTTAAAAGCTCAAGGGCACTTATTGGAGGTATTAACCAAATAGTTCAAAAATCGTAGGTTATAGAAATTTATGTTTGGGTCGCATTAAGCTTTCCGCAAACATTTCGTCGAATTTGAATATATTTCCCCAAGTTTAACGTAATTATTGTAACACTATGTATAAACCAATTAGTCAATTGGATTTCTTGTGATATATATGAATAAAAATACTTTGTTTTTTAAATCGTATACTAGAATCATATTTATAATGGAGAATGTTTTGAAAATTGCTTACCTTCTCAAAACAGATGTAGTACCTACATTTTATACCTAAAATTCATTAGACTGTCTAACAACATATCAGAAATATTAATATAAGACTCTTTTTTTATTATTATAGTCTTTACTTTGTGGCCATATCAAAAAGACAAAATTTTCTATTATTTTGGTTCTTTAAAATTATTGCAAAGAATCATAAAAACATCATTAACCTCTGGAACGAAGTGGCTGCCCTGCGTTATTGTAATATCACTATTAACCAAAGTACGTACAAGAACTATTATTCTAAATTACAAACCTTAAACATTATAATATTTATTTAAGTTCACAATGCTATTTTAGAAATAATTAACTTAGTAATGTTAAAAAATGTAGACCAATAAAACCATTATTAGGCATTAGAAGTAGTAAGGAATTGATTGGCAAAATTTCCAACAGCAAGACCAAGAGTAACCTAGATGCAAAATCAAGCGCCAGACTTCTATTATGTTGTATGTATAGACCAACGTCAAAATTAGGCTAGACTTGGTTTTGGTCTTACGAAGCCTTAGTTAGAAGGCTTTTTGTCCAGAAAAGTATCTCATTTTTGGAATGATAGAAGTGAGGATCGAATATTGTACACGACTCTTAATTATATACTCATTTAAAGGATCGGTGTTTCTTGGATCCTAAGAGCAAAATCCACGGCCACGTACAAGACCGGACAAACGACTTGCGGGAGGAACAGCCTAAAAAGTCAGTTCGATTCTATCTTCCTGGATACCTACTTCCGTTAAAAACGTGACATATCAACCAGAAGCCATCCTGACATCATCGCAACAGTTTACTCCAGCACATACAACAATAAACTCTTCACGAGCAGATAGAGAACCATCAGCAGCACTGGATGAAATTAAAAAGTGAAGCACGTAGGTGCGGTGCGGATAATAAAACGTTTTCCTACGATTCCGCACCCCCTGAAAACCACCCGCTTGCCCCTTGAAGCTTACACCTCTACACTCTGTCGTGGCCGATGGGAAAATAAAGTCGCAGGCGTTGCCAAGGCACGTCCCAAACTAGGACCGGTACCTGTATTACGTAACATATAAGTTAACCTTTCAGATACCATGTATGTTTCTCCGAAAAAATATCATCTTGGAACTAGGTGTCATTTTCGTCATGTTCACTTTAGTAGCTGGACTATGCGACATCAGCTATTTGTAGCTTCTATGGCCGAAGTTGTATGTTCCATACTGTTACCGGATTAGCGGTCCTTGTCCCATTCCCCTATAGGTGGCGCTCATAGCGGGTAGGCGCAACTACACGCCTACACGCATTTTTGGTTGCATATGTTTTGTGATGCCGAGTAGTCTATAGTTTCCATCCCTGAGAAGAAGGTTCGTTGAGTAGCAAGATCGCATCTGAATGATTGTGTGTATTGGTCTGCACGTGTATGAAATCGGTGATATTTGCTGTGTGAGAAATTCATTACTGACTATACTGCCAGTAAAGAATATCTATTAGCTGTGCCCGATGGATTATTTATATGTTGTCCTTTCTGAAGTCCGATTACGTTCAAAGTTATAAATTGAATTTTTTCCGTTGTTTTGTGTTTTAAAAAGCTTTGAGGAAAATAACGGGAAATCACCATCGTCTACCTAGGAAGCACTTATTGAAATATCCGAAGTTTTTCTATGTCAATGTACGTTATATTATACGTTTGGAATCAGAACTAAAAGCTCCCTTCTCGTGTGGACAAATCAAATATGTCGTCTATAAGAAATAATATTTCAAACATGGCATTGAAGCTCTAGCCATGCCATCTTGTAGAGAGCAAGTGGAGTGTCAATGTTAGCATGCAATTTGATTTAATATCTCATCTTGAATAAAGCCAGGAAGAAACGCTCTTGGGAAGATTTGTTTTTTCTATTACCGGAAATATTCTGAATTGCGCGACTTTCTATGTGTCATTATCTTAGTTACCCGTAAGTGCAACTTTTCTTCCCTTAATCGACTTCGTATCTCATACGCTTTCCCAGATGCTAATGATGCAAATAGAATTTGAATATTAGAATAAAATAACGTAATTCCGTCCAAGAAAACAGCCCCAAAAGCTCATACTGCATATTTTGAAGGAAGAATTTACAGCCTTTAGAGTGGTAGTAACAGAAATTCTATAAAGCGCAACGTAGCCAAAATTTTAATTTTGATGCTTGAGCAATTTCCACGAGTCACGGACTGACAATCACACGAAATTTTATGTATACTGATTAAAAGTGGTGAGAGATACAGCAATAACTTTATCTGCGATGAATTTAGCACATTTTCGTTATCCAGTTTTGAGGAATCACGAAATAGTTTGATCGGATTTGAGATCCTTTGAAGGTAGACATTTACGAACTGACAGACTCGAAAAATTCACTGTTATGACCATCCACATAATTCTTTGAAGAGAAGGGGAAAAACTGGAGTTCTGTAACATGTCTTCCCTAAATGAAGTTCATCCTTTAAAAGGATACAAACACGAACTTTTTGCATTTAAATAGAGGTAAATTATCGGCAAACAACCTGTATGTTACAGACTGACCTAAAAATATCACCGACTGACTCCTGTGTCGGGTGGTTTGTCCCTGACGCAAAAACTGATATCCGTGGTGGTTATTTTCCACCTCAATTGTGGTTATATGATTCTAAGATAATAGAAACATAAACAAGACAAGGATGCTTTGAGTATTTGCTAGAGAAGGTTCAGCATATTTGGAATACGGCAGGTAACTTGTAAAATGCAAACTATATCTTTATTCTTTTGACGTGAATATACTGATGTAATTCACACGAAACCACGAGTA